CGTGGCCGGCGCGGCGGCCGCGCAGGCGTTGAGCATCGGAGTGGAGCAGATCGGTGGATGTTTGAAGAGGGAGACCTCAAAATGAAGCGCAATGGTTTGTGTGTGTTCGTTAAATCTTAGCGGTCAAACTGGGCTCGTCTCCTTTTAAAGAGACATGCTGCAGTGACCTCATATGTCCCAAATCTAGTTGGCTGATGTTGGTTGTGCATCAAGAAGAGCGTGTCACCGTGTCACCCCTGTTTGGAAGAAGAATGGACCAAAACCGCCCAGTAGTGCCCCAAGTTGGACGGTTCTTGTTAACCGCCATATATATGGTAGCTCAATGCATTTCGCAACGATCATCAAGTCGTTGGCCTAAACCTCAGGTATCGCATGGTATCTCATGTATGCATTTGGGATATGACGACGACGAAAAACCTTCCAACTGCCGCACTGCACGGCACAAAAATCTCTCCTCTGGAGACACAGTCCACCATGTATCAGGACGGCCACCATGTACAGGACGAACGCCTGGTGCTTCTGGGACGACCGAAATGGCACCGCGAGAATTCCGATTTCGGTGTCATGTAGACTCGCCCCACACGAGTCATGTCTGCACGTGGTGTTTTGGTCCTTCAACTGAGGACGAATCGGACTTCACCAAAGCCAACCCCTCAAGGTGCTCGTTTGACCTAAGGGGACCCTCAGTCAACCCCAAGTTCGAAACAAGGATGCGACTCGAATGGACGGAGCAAAGAGAGAACAGGCATCGCGACTCGAACGGAGCCTGAGCGGGGCATCGCGACTCGAACGGCGTCATCACTGGTCTGGACGACGAAGAAAACCTCCCGTTCCTGCAGGCTGCTCGTCAGCTGGGCGCCCCAGCAGAGCTGACCCTGCAGCTCTCGGCCGCCGTGGTCGCCTGGCTGTGGTGATTGATTGATGGTGATTGATTGATGTTGTGTGAGGTTCAGGCCTTTTTGGGGGGGAACTCAGTGTTTTGGGTTGTGTTTTTGTTGGCGTGTTTTCCTTTTGGCAGCTTCAAAGTCTGCTTTGGTCCATGGCCCAATGGCTGGGTAATAGATCGTTACAACACATCCCGCCGCGGGGAGGTGTGCCGATTCGATGGGATTCCCAACCCACCCAACCTTCCAACCGGTTGGTGTACTGTACGAGAGCCCATCTGGAAGTACCACTGAAAAAATCGAAACAATCGAAGAAGGAATATCATCATATTATTACTTTTTTTTTGGTGTGACACATGGTTTTGCTTAGAAAGACACATGGTTTTGCTTACTAAAGAGAATCATTGGTTGGAGTCGGACTCCAGATGCTTCCCCATATTCTCATTTTGCTATGGTATAGGTCGACCTACCCGACGTCAGGTCGACTTACCCAGGGTGTTCCGGTGTTCTGGTACTGTAGATGTGTTGAGGATTGGGAAGTCAGGGATCATCCAGAATATGAACCTCATGAATCAAGACTCATGAAAGAGGATGGGCCAACCGAATTGATTTGCGGATATGAACCGGTAGCTGTTGAACGAGGATATGAACCTGAATGGCCCGAATGGGTGACCCACATGTCGGTGACGCTCGTGGATTGAAACGGGGCCATTGAACCGGGGGTTGAAGAAGTTAGGGATCATCCATTGACTCGTAAATCCCACCAGCAACAAACCACTGATCCCAAGACTGGCTGAGTCATGTTTCTTTTAAGGCTGACAGTCGTGGTTCTTAAGGCGCATTCGTATGTCTTGCCCCTTGAGCTCTTCCATTAAATATCGTCAGTTGGCCAAACAGGAGGCGTTTTCGCCCAAAAACGACGTCCACATGTCTGACCTCCGCCTGACCTCCTGCTCCGCACGGGCCTGGCGCTCCGCATGCTCCCAGCTTCACCCATTGCAGCCCCCCCCCTTTTGCTGGGGCCCTTCATTCACTGTGCCAGACACCGCGCTGGCGGTCCCATCACTGCGGTGGCAAGATCTAGCACTGCAAAGCGTGGCCCGACTTTGGCTGCCGTCCTTGCCTCCAAACATGAACAGACAAAAGTGATGCTGGAAGTGATTCCTGGAACTATCGATTGCAATCGTTTGCTATGTAAACACAGACCAACTGAAGCGAATCCTATGTTTCTGTTGTTTGTTTGCCGCGTTCGAGCTCTTGCCATCTCTAAATCGAACGCTTGCGATATCGAACGCAGCGAGTTTTGCACAATGTTCTTTTCGCCTCGACCATTGGTGCGTGTGTGTGTGTCCCTTGCTGTGGTCGAAGAATTGATCATCGTCATATCACACTTGGGCCTTACGTGTCATGACACGGGTCCAAATTGACCTCCTCAAAATGTCCTTCTCTCCAAGTGTCCAAACACATGTGAAAGAAGAACATCACACAACCATAACCATCCAAGTAACCAGTAACCACCAGTAACCATCAGTCTCATCCTATCTCAGTCACCCTCCCCACCCCGCTTCGAGGCTGGTCGGGTGGTCTCTGAGAGAGCTTTGACCACAGGCGGATCCGCTGACCGTCGTCGACCGGACGACCGTCGGACGATCTCCGAACGACTGGGAAGTGGAAGAGGTACCATGAGGTACGACCGTGGCACTGGGCCCATTTGTATGGGGTGTATGACTATGAGTAAATGCTAACAGACACTGATCATATCGATAAGTCCCATGGTCGAATTCTTTCATCGAATCATTCATGTGACCTACTTCGAAGGGACAGTGCAAGAAGTTGGTCTTCATTTTTCGTCCGAATCCATTGCCTGACGAAGTCAGAACATACCGAGAGGACACATCGTCATGCGGATGAGGAGGATAATGATGATGATTGTCATCATCGTCATTGGTTTGATCATCAACAACCACATGGTCATCGTTCTCACAGTGCTCGAATGAAGCCAACTCCTTCCAAATCCTTCAGGCTCCTGCAGAGACTGTTCTCCCAAGGAGAAGCCGTTCCACTCACTCCACTCGTTCCACTTTTTCACCCAACTCCTTACAGAGAATCCTTCCAAATCAGAAAAACAACATGCACGTATATAGATATATATATATATATGTGTCCTATGAAATGCATCCGAACATGGACATACATGGACATCCAACATTCACGGTAGATCCTTTTTTTCAGATAATTTTGTCCCAAATCTTCCGTTCCAAAATCCAACCTGAGCTGGCCTGCCAAGAGGCCCCGAGCTGGCCGCTCAGTGCGGCTCCGCGGCGGCCGCCGCCGCGGCGGAGGTGGCGGCAGGCGCCCCGGTGGTGGGGGAGAATGGTGGAGAAAATGACTGAAATGACATGAAAACGAAAGCTTGAGGAAAATGAAAGGGCCATGAAAAGGCGTTTCTCATCAAGAATCATCTGAATCACAAGATCATTTGTCCAGTTCCTGGCCAATTTTTGGAGCAGTGAGGATGCCAGCAGAAACCACGTTCCAAAAAGGGTTTTGAGGGATTTGGGCTGTTCATGCCGCTGTTTCCGTTGTTTTTTTTGTGTTGGATTTCTTCCTAAGCTTGGAACAGCTATTCTTGTTCATGGTCGAATTTGAGCAAGCGATTCCTATGCAGGGCTGCGGTGTTAGGTCTGGGCCTCTCAGATCCAGACCCGGAGTGTTGGGCAAAGCGGCCAGAGCCTCACAATGTCCTGACGGACCTGAAACTGTTTTCTTCCCTCCCCTGTTTGTTCTTCTTGAACCACTGATAGTTATTCACGAAAGCTAGCATGCTAGCTGAGTTCTTTGCTTTAGCAATTGGTAGTGGGATGAGCTGTGTGCCTTAAAGCTTGATATATCACACTAAGGGGGGGCGCCAGGCCCCCCCTTAGCGTGATATATCACGCTAACCACCCCCCCCACGGTTCGACTCCCAGCTGCGCCGTGTAGCGGGAGTTGGTTGAACGTGAGAACGTGGTTGGTTGGGTGTAAACGGTGGCTTGATGTAAACGGTGCTGCTGCTGCCGCTCTGCTACTTGCTGCTGCTGTTTGCTGCTGCCGCTGGTTGCCGCTTTTGTAGCTGCTGCTTTGCTACTTGTTGCGGCTTGGTGCTGCTGCTGCTGTTGCTGACGACGCCGCTGCTACTGCTGCTTGCTGCTTGCTGCTTGCTGCTGCTGCTTGCTGCTTGCTGCCGGTGGTGCTGCTGCTGCGGCTTGATGCTGCGCTGCTGCTGCGTGGTGCTGCTGGCTGGCTGCTGGTTGGTGGTTGCTGCTGGCTGCTGGCTGCAGGCGGCTGCTGCTGCTGCTGCTG